TGCTCTGGTGCTGGTCCACCTGAGTCCACCCGGCTACACTGCAGTCTTTGGAAGAGGGTGATCTCAACTCCTCTTCTGAGACTACCACTCACCCCTATGAACTCACCTACCATCACTTCTTTCCCAGTCAACCCCACCTAGGCCAGATCAGCTCTTAGGAATAGTCAGAACTGAGGACTAAACACTGTGGTGGGTCCCTGGGTCAAAAGGCAAAAATGGGGTGCAGACCACATTCCAGGGAGCCTTCATTCTTTGGTAGCTTCTTACCTTTGACATTTTTTACATGAAATCTGAATGAGCAAAACAGCATATCCCTAAATGGGGTACCAGGAGCCTGAATTTCAACCTCTGTGATGCTTTTGGAATGGCAAGAATGATAAGGCCATGGGGTAGGCACAGAGAGGGCAAGGCCCTTTCAGGATTGACTCAGACATCTGTTTCTAGCTGTTAGCAGAGACCAGAGGAGGAGATTCTAGTTGCTGMAGACATTGTTTTGCAATGAGAAAGGTCAGACAAGGAAAAGCTMGGATATGATTCCTCCCTCTCTCAGACCCAATATCCAAAGGGACTGAGCCATTCTCATTCCAACATGTCTCCTGTGTTCCATCACCACTGGCAGGGTCTTCGTGTCTTACATTCAGGACCTCATGGTGTCTCAAGCTGAATAATACACTCCTCCCTCTTCTACTTTCCACCTGCTTCACTTCATAGTCCCCAAGCCCACTGAGCAATTTTTCCAGAATATAGATCTGACCTTCTCTCTTAATGAAACTCCCAACCTACAGGACACAAGGCCTATATCGTGGGCAGAGGAAAGCCTTGCCAGCCTTTCCAGCCTCGATGGAAGCATAGGCTATGGCATCCCACAGATCACAGCCAACTCTAACATYAACCACTTCCTGGGCATGTGTTTCTGTCCCATTTCTACATCTGTACATAGGGAATAACACAAGCACCTTCTCATAACTGCTATAAGGTTAAGTCTAAGTTGTGAAGAGCCTAGCTCTCCAAGAGTGATCAATCCTACCAGTCAGTCCCCAGCTGCTCAGCGTGTCCGCTCCTTCCCCACCACCATGCTGAACCACCTCTTTATAATGAATGAACAAGAATTAACACAGAAGAAGGCACATGCTCAATCTAAAAGAGGCTATCAAAATGTGAATGAGACCAAAATTAATTCATTTTCAAAACCATGTAAGAGGAGGAAAATAAGAAAACATTACTTTTGGGAGAAAATGATTTTAAAATATATATCTTTATGATGTTTTGGACTTCATTTGTTCCAAAGATTTAGGAAGATGACATCTCAAAGGCTCACAAAGGAGACTTCTATTTTTTAAAAACTATTTCTTAATTAATATCTTCAGAGAACTAAGAGTACTTTTATAGGCTGACTGAATCTTATTAATTCTCAGAGAAATTCTGGCATCAGTCACAACAAACACCCTCTTGGAATTTAATTTCCTCTTCWGCATACAACTTACTATGGAAATTCATTTATGATGCCACCACAACCAGTCAAAATCTGCCTAGAGCACAAAAATCTTCAAAGTCCCAGAAGAGAATCTTACTTAGGACTAGGTGGAAACTAGCCTTATATTTGGTCAAATAGTACATACAACAGAAATTTTCTCCATGTCAAACTTTTCAGCTTCTACCATCAGCCACATTAAACTCTTACATCTCCTTCCTGCCTCTCTCYGACCCACTATAGCCGTTCCAGTGCCCTCCTTCAGCCCAAGCCCCCCAAATTCAGTGCATTTTCCATGTCCAATGAAAAAAAAAAAGGAGAGAAGTCCACAAAGAAAAAGAGAAGTCCATGAACAAAAAGAAACCAGCTAAATTCATCAACTTCCTGCCAAAGACCTATTCATTCTGGCTTCTGGTTTCATTCAATTTCTTTTTGGACTAGATGATCACTAGAATATTTACTTAATACACTGGGGTGAGGGCAAAAGCTAGAAGAATTATTTATAAGAACAAAAATGTACTTTAAAAGCCTTTTTTCCCTGAGGACAATTCCTACTGGAAGACTTGATCAATCCCATTATCCGGAGTGTGTGAAAGCCACTGAGACAAAGGAGTAGCCAACCTTTACTGAACACCCACTGTAATTCACACATACATCTCACATAAGGCAGATGGCATTGCCCTGATTTTTCATATGAAGAAACCAGACTCAAAGAGGTCAAGGCAATGGGATCAGGATTTTCATTCTGGTCTACCAGACTCCCTAGACCACTTCTCACTTGACTTCCTGTGCTTATGTTACAATGTCCTACATTAGCGTACTTTACAGTTTACATGTTTCTTTTCACATACATGATTTCATTTAATTACCACATCCCTGTAGGAAAGCTAAGAATTCCTTTTCCACCATTACAAAATTTTGCTTGGACTCAAAGATCATCAGTAACTTGTACAAACCTGCTACAATACAGAGTTGTGCCCTCACTTGGCTTTTTTTTACCTATAAACTGATGTTCCTTCTTACTTCACAGTGCCTAATATATGGCAGGGGCTCAAATGGTGACTATTATTAGCAACATGATTTTTATCAGTTAAAGTAAATTATACACATTCACACTATAGATATTTTAAAGACCCAACATAATTAGTCTTTACTTGGAGAAGACATCATTTCATTTTATCACTACCTCAAATTCAGGGATAGCCACTAACACAGCTTCCAAGGGAAAAAAAAAAAATGAAAATGATGTGGTTGCCTGGTACAGTGGTAGGTGCCTATAATCCCAGCAACTCAGGAGGCTGAGGCAGGAGGATCATAATCATTAAGTTCCAGGCCATCCTCAGCAACTTAGCAAGGCCTTAAGCAACTGAGCAAGGCCCTTTCTCAAAATATAAAATAAAAAAGGCTGGAGATGTAGCTCAGCAGTAAAACATCCCTGGCTTCAAAGCCCAGTACCCGCCACCACAATTTAAAAAAAAAAAAAAAAGTGTGGTCAAACCCAATATGGATTTTGAAAGTTACTAACAGGAGAAGAGCATTCAGTTGATAGAATACAAAAAATCCTCCCTATCTTCCAGCATCATGACTTGACCATTAATGTGCTATTTAACTGCAGTTATTTTAATTCTGTGATGGTCCTTAACATCCAAAGCATTTCTTAGGAGAGGKTGCTCAGGGACTATGGGGAATAGGGGTGGAGTGGAAAAGATACATATTGTTGGTTTAAGTTATTTTTAACGTGCTGCATCTAGCACTGAGGCTTGCCTATTTACTATACTCACTTGAAAAGAAACCAGGTTAATTCAGAAATGCCACATGCAGTGGGAATCAGCTCATTTCCCAAGYCAGAAAGGAAAAGATGCAGAATTGTGGTGACATAAGGATCCCAGCATCAAACAAACAGAAAATTTATATTATGGGAATGAGAGGTCCTACAGGTGTTCTTGGCCTACAGAGACCAATCCAACTGAGCATCCACTCCAGTCTTGAAGGTTTAAAAAAAGAAAAAAAAATTCAGGTCCACAGGTAATATTTTCTAAACAAAGCAACTTTATAATAAAGACAAACAGCCAACTGCACCAACCTGCATAAGAACAGTATCACAATGTAAAACTAGTATGCAATTATTATCAGCTTTTTGTTTTGCTTTTTGAATATTGCTTCTCGTCTGTTTTCGTTTAAATGTTTCCTAATTTCCTTGTAAGAACAGGCTTATTTTGTGTGACTACTCTGGTCTCACAAGCAAAAAGATTCCATCAGAGTATCTTTTTATACCCCATTTCACTGATAAAATTGAGGCTCAGACAGGGCAAGTGGCTCATCCAAGGTCATACTGCTTAGAAACACATCTAGGCTAGAACAAGAGCTCAAGAGGCCCACAGTCTGAGTCTCCAGCTGCATCACTGCTGCAAATGACCTGGTATACTGGTGTCTTGAATACAAAGTTTATTTGAGAGGAAAAAACAACCAACATGAGTCATCTCCCTTGTCAAGGGGCACCACACAGGTTGTTCTAATAAGGCATTCAGCCTCTTCAGAACCACCTGTTTCTGAAATAATCAGCCTCAGCTAGAGAATAAACGCCATGTCTTCTACCCACAAGCCCATAAGCAGATGTGCCCTGCAGTTTGGCAGCTTCTACCCCAACCCTGGCGCCTGGGTGTGGGCAGAAACTGGACAGGGAATGGAGTGGGAGGGTATGCGAAGAGATGGGAGCTTTTTTCRGATAGTTATGATTTCATGCTGCTTAATCCTAATCCTACTCACCTTGGAACACCCCTAAGTATATCATCCACCAGGCTGTTCCTCCTCAACTTCCCCAGGACAAAAACACTGTGCAGTCTCAGAGGTGAATCTGGCAGATGGGAAGGGCGGCACTTGATCCCGGCCGCAGAGGGAGCCAAGCTCAGCTCCCTCCCTGCCCACCCTTACTGGAACTCTCGGGTCTTCACACTCCACAGTCGTCCCTAACTCTGGGCCTGACACCTCCCTCGAGTCATCCCCGGGCCAAGGCAGGGAGGGGATAAAGCTCCCTCCGCGCTACCAGTTCGTCGCAGGTCCCTCAGCTCCGGGGCTCGCCACGCTCTGGGGCCTCGCACAGTCCCCGAGACCTGCTGGGCCCCCAGCCGGACACCTGCCGCAATCCCTGCGGGCGCGGGCCCCAAGTCTCCCGCCTCCCCAAACGGGGCCCTCCCGACCGCTCCGCACCGGCACTTCCCGCCCGGCCAACACGGGCTCCCGGTCCGCCCCAACTTTTCCGGCCTTGGCCCCGAAGCAGCTGGGATGCCGCGTCCGGAGGTGCGCAGAGCGCCCCAGCACGCTTCCCCCGCCGCCGCCCGCCCCGCCGGCACGAGTTGCGCTCGGGACCCGCTCGGCTCCCGGGCCTCGGTCGGCAGCCCGCCGCGGAGGCGGAGCCGGCGTGGCGGGAACCGCGCTGTCCCGGCGCCGCACCCAGCCGGGTGCAGGGTGCCCCGCGCCGCCCGTCCGCCTCATGCTGTGCCCGCGCCCTCGCGGGCCACCCCTTGCCCACCTGCCGCGGGCGCCGCCACCTCCRCCGCCACTGCCGGGAATACGTGGCAGTGGCCGCCGCTCGCGCTCCCCGCCTCGCCTCTCCTCTCGGCGCCCGCGCGGGCGGCTCCGGCGCGCCGGACCGCAGCGCCAGGCGCCCTCTGCCGCCGGGAAGCCGAATCCTCCCGCCCTAACCCTAACGCTCGCCCAAGCCACCCGGGCCTCGGCCCCGCTAGCCCTCCGGCCCAACCGGCTCCGCCAGCCCCACCGCGCCCCCAACGCTAATGCTGAGCGGGGTCCTCGGGGCCCGGAAAACTGACCCGCGAACCGTCCGGCCCGCCGCTGCCTCCGGGGAGTCTGCCCTGACAACCCCRGCCGGCTCCGCGCCCTTCCTCCCGCGCCGCGCAGCTGGTGCAGAAGTCAACCCACCCCACCCCCCACCCCGCAGACGTATTTTCTGCTTCTTTGGATGCCTCCCCCACGAGATAACAAAATCGCTGAGCGGGGTGGGTAAGGGAGCAACACCACATGTAGCGTGCTCACCGCTCTCTCTCCTAAGGCTAGGTCAGAGTCCTGCCTGGAATTCCGAAGTGCGCAATAAATACTTGTGGAGGAAGCAAAGGAGTAGAGATTTTTACTGCTCTCTACCCAACTCGGTTTTATGCCACCAGCGGTCAGAAATGCTGGCCTAGAGTTGTTTTTTTGTAAATTACACGTGCACATGTGTGCTCAATTTAACATAAATAAATGGGACTCTCACAGTTCCTCGCCTCAGACCAGCACCAAAGCTGCACAAGGCCCAGAGCTAAATGTTATTCAGAACTTTAGTGAAACACACTTAGGTTTCAAATCAACCACTTAGAAGCTGGGCAATTATCTCACCTATAAATTAAGAATAAAAAACCTACTTCGTAAGGTTATTGTGAGAATTGAGATCGTTCATTGTAAAGGGATGTACACACTCCTCTTGATGTRTATGATAGTATGCAAATGGAGGTTACTTGTATTATTAATGATCTAACAATGATTTTTAAAAAATGCAACATGTATTATAATAATAGCTGCCTTTTCACCTGTGGACAATCACCTTCCCAGCAAGGTCAGCCCTGGAAGCAAGCCTTTGCCCCTCCTCCCCTACACACTTAGGAACAGGTCTTGGTGTTTATAAGAGCTGTAGAACCCTCTCTTCTACAGATTTTCCACTTGGGCTTCTGTGGTCAATCTCTTCATCAACAAGTGCTTAATTTATGGATGTCAGAGCCAGTAAACAGATTGAGGGCCCTTGCTGTGTACTGCCCCTTCCTAATTTCTTCCTGCCCTTCTTTCAAACATTCTCTCAAACACAGTTTTACAAGAAGTTGTCTTCCTGGTCCACACAGAAGTGCAGTGACATTCCTCRGAGGGACCCTGGCTGCAATCCCAGGGCATTCATTCAGGCTTTCTACACCTCAATCCCATCAGCTGTCACACTGAAAAAAGAAATGATCCCAGGAAAAAAATGAGACCTCTGAGGGAAATCCCCAGAACAGATAGAGGTTTAATCCAGTTATGGATTAGTTTATTCAGCAAGTATTTAAGGAGTATCTATTTAGTGTTGTAGGTGGAAGAAAGTTGAGGGAAACAGTCATGAGTGAGGTTAAGCCTTTGCCCTCAAAGAAGTTTGAGCTCTAGTAGATGAGACAGGCATGCATATAAATTTACTCCATACTAGAATAGAAGGAATGCAAGAACATGGGATGTGGCTAATGTGAAATTAGTAAGCATCACAGTGTGGATTGCCTTAATCCATTGTCATTTTAATGCTATTTTTCTCTAAGTGTTATGTACAAAACTTCCCAAGGCCACTGGTAAAAATTAATGATTTTATGAGGAAAGCAGAGCCATTAATGGAGGATTCCATACCTTAGTAAGGTGACTCCAAATACTCCTAATAATTTACACATTATCTTTGTGAAAGTGCCATAATTTACAACTTAAATTTGCATATCTTGCAATGCAAGTCTTAGAAAGTTCACACTTTATTACAATAATGGCTTCTAATGAAGCACACCTGTCAAGGTGCCCTTGTGTGGTCTCTGCCTATGTTGACCTTGTGATTTGCTTTGGCCACTGAGACATGGGCAGATATGATATTTGATAAATKAAGCACTTGTGTCTTGCTCCTTGCTCTCTTGGAATGCTGCCCTAAGGATGCAGTGAAGAAACCTGGTCCAACCACCTTAAAAATGGAAGATCCCAAGGAAAGAAAGACTCACTATCACAGCTGTGCAACCTGCCAGCTAAATTCAGCCACATGACTGAGCCCAGGCAAGGCCAGCCAACAATAACCCAGCCAACCCCAGAATTTCAAGAAAAAAAAATTTTTTGTTTTAAGTCACTAAGTTTTGGGGTGGTTTGTTATACAACAACAGATAACCAATACATAACATCACTCATAGACATTTCTATACTTACAGTCTTGGCGAAATTCATCTAAGAATTAGTACTCTTGATAGTGTTTTTCTGTCATGAAGCATTCAGTTAGAAGTCACTACATCTAAGCTTAGAAGAGCATCACATTTTATGTAAATGCACTCTCTCAGAGTTCTTTATTGAATGGGTTATTGAGCCTAGAACTGTTCAAAATCCTTTTGCAGCCAACATGACAGTGGGTTGGCAAAATCAGCTTATAAGCTACCAGAAGCTTTAAACATACCTGCTTAGAACGCAAATAATAAGTAACATGGAGGTTGGATGTGTTTATCCCACTTTATTGTCAACTCCATGATGACAATTAAGATTATTAACAAGGTTTCATCATAGATCACAAAACATCAGAAAAGGAAGGGAAGTATGAAATCATCCAACCTATCACCTCATTTTATAGATGAGAAAACTGGGGTAAAGAGAGATAAGAGCCTTACAGATTCCCAGGGTTCTGGATCTAGCTCAGAGCAGAACAGGGTCTTTATACTGTTGAACCATTCTGTTTACCTTTTTGACATTTTTGCTATTAAAATATTTTTCCCGTACCCAAAATTTGTTTACAACTTTCCTTTGCATTTAGGATAAAATCCAAACTCAATATGTCCTCATAACCTGGTGAGTTCTGGTGAAGTTTGCTCCCACAGAGGCGTTCGTTCCACTCTATAGCTCTGCCCTGCTGCCTTCTTTCTGTTCCTCAAACTAACAAGCTCTTCTCCACTTCAAGCCTTTTGCACATATTGATATGCCTTCCCAAACGCTTCACTTTGCTAACCCACTGTAGTTCTGTGGTTACAAGCAATAGAAAGTAATTCAGGGAATAGTATAAACAGGAAAAAAAAATATTGGAAAACAGGTAATTCACAATGTCTTCAGCCAAGTTTTAGGAAGGTCAAGAATCAGGATGGCTCCAGAATCTAAGAAGAACAGACAAACACCTTGTCAAGCCTCTGTCACGGAAACAACCTGTTCCAGTTTTTTGATCTTGCATCACTCTGCTGCAGATTTCAAGCCCTGGAAGGAAATCAGCTTGACCTACCTCAGTCACAAGCCCTCCATCAGCCAAAGGAGAATGGGATAACTTGAATGAAAGCCCCCAAGATGATTGTTAGGGTGTTGCTACCAGGCCAAAGGAAAGTTGACCGAGGATGACAAAAGCAGGAAATGTCCACATCATAACCTCTTGGGCCTTATCTTAAATGTCACCTTCTCAGGGAATCTTTTCTGAACCACTCCATCTGTCACACTCATTGTTTCAAGGTTTCTCAACACATTTTCTAGTTACATACTTGTGTGTTAGTTGGTTGGTCTCATATTCTTCTTCCCTTAGAGAAGGGACTGTTAGTCTGTTGTACACTACATCCTCACTACCTAGCACAGAGCCTGGTGCATAACAGACTCTCAATGAATATTTATAGAATAAATAAACAGACCAACAAGTGAGCAAATGAATAAATAATACAGAACTTATGATACTTCTGACCCGGTCCATGTGACATTAACTTTGTAAGAATGAATGAGAAAAAGACAAAGAGAATATGATAAGTATAGGTTGTCATTTGCTCTGCCCTGTATGGTGTTGTGGAAAGGACAAGGACCCACACCCAGGAAAATAAGGAAAGATCACCTGTGCATCAGAAATGAGCCACATCATGCTGTGCTGTGCTATTCTTGAGGTCTAAGTTGTATAAGCAGTTAAGTAAGAGCAGAGGAGACCTACAGTGGTGAAGTCTTAGTGCCTAGAATGTTTGCAGAAGGAGAAACCCTCAAAACTGAAATGGGGTTCATGGCCTGGCTGCAACTGCCACGGGCTGAGATCAGCAGTGTAAGTTCATAAACCTGCTCCCTCGGCCTCCATTTAGGCCTGGTGGTCCATTCTCGATAGCAGAGTCCCCAGGTTCATCTGCTGATGGCTGCAGGTCCTTGAAGATGTCTTCACTATTTGGGCCAGATGAGAGTAATAAGCAGTAAAGCTAAATATGTTCACTTTGGAAATCAATAAGTATTGTAGTCATGATAGCTTGTGTATTGGGTTTTTTGTTTTAGTCATTTTTTCACAAAATAAAAATTTGACAATCCCAGTGTACCCTGGGGGGAAAAATGTTTTTTTTTTTTTTGTGGTTGTTTGTTTTTAATGTTTCTGGTCCACAAAACCTAAAAGCTTCAGAAWTTACAATCTCAGAGACCCAGGCACCCCCTGCAAGGGCGTCAAGCCCATCAGAAAATCAACTTTTGAAGCAGTAAACATCAGTATATCAGCCATTGTTGTTGCTTTTGTCATTGTGATGGCAATTACATRGCCCCAGCCTGTTTCCTTTCCTGCCTCACACCTACTTGGCCCTCACATTAGGCTAAGAGGCCTCGGTCTGTWAGAAATAATGAAGTGCCTCAAGAAATCAAACACAGTGCTCCAAAGTGGGTGGGCAAAGCAAACCTTTACTTCTGGCAGAAGGGCGAGCTGGGAACCCAGTTAGCAAGCCAACTAGGTAGGCAGTCCACCTGCTTATATCTGGAACCTAAAGCAGAGTTGCCCTTCACTCTGRTTGGAGAAGTTGGGGCAGGGGGCAGGGGAGGTTTGCAATCTACATGATTGGCTAATTTTCGAATTAGGAGAAGCAAAAGGGAAGGGCTACAATTGGATCCAGTTGAGG